CTAAACTTAAAAAATCAGTCGAAAACAAAATAAAGTGCAAATGAGATATCTCATTTTCGTCTACCTTCATAAGAGACATAATTAATATCATAAGAACAATACCAATGTTAGCTCTTTAGTCTCTATGTTGAAGATGCCAAACCAAAGAACCTTTACGCTCCCGGTAGCAGTGGCGGTAGCATTCCCAATGGAATATGTAGGTGCAATCTGGCTTCGTGCATTGAATGGATAGATCATCTCTACAAGGCTTACCACACTCGTTGCATTTAGGAGGATAAAAATCTATCTTCACCAAAGTGACAGGGTGTTCGTGATCATCAATCCGGAATGGTTTCCCGAGCTTGACAAATGGGGATCTCCAAAGCACACAATTAAGATGAGCAGAAACATCGCAATTGGCACAATGATAAAACCACCACTTTGGATCTCTGGTTTCTTCACATATGTCACAATAACATTGACTTAAATCATGATCATCACGATAGGTAAGCTTGAGAGCATGCTCGTCATATTTGTACCGAGCTGTTGTTGGTAGCACAAGGCATCTATAATCCAACACAAAATTGCATTTCTTGTCCTTGCATCTAAACCTGGCTTCAGAAGTAAAAAGGTTACAACCACAACATTTCCGTCTGTATTTGTGGTCAAAGAAAAGGAAGTGCTCCTGTCCTTCTATATTTACAATACGAGTGTCGAGAATTTCATGACACCGGATGCACATAATCCTGTCGCATGCATTACAATTGTAGCCAAACCCACTACTCCAAAACAAGCAATAGCCACAACGAAAAATGGAATAGAAAAAGAGTTCTCTTAAATGCTTGCAAATCCAGTGACGCACCTTCTTGGGTAACTTATGAACACAGCAGTTGCAGAGAAAGAAATTACATTGTGCACAATAGTAAAAGGAAGTAGAGATGGAACGCATGCAACCTTCACAACTTTGGCCATCCTCAAACCCATCATCACTCAATATTAAGTTGTGTTTATGGCTGAAATGCTTTATCTCTCCAGGTTTGACTTCCTGAAAAGCAGGAAAGATAGCAATCCAGTCATCTGATGATTCGGACTTTTCATCTTCCAAAAGACGTTCATCAATTGCACAATTTACATGAGCAAAATAGTTGCAATCTGCACAGCAGTAGCTCCCATATACCAGATTTATGTCATCATGACAAATATTGCATTCACGTTTTCCAGCTTCCTCCTCATCTTGAAAGAAATAGATGTGAGAAAGTCGATGTGGATGCCTTATTATTTTGATGGTGCGGCGAAGTGAAGTGCAATCTGTATGAATAATAAGGCTGCATTCACCACATGTAAAGCAAACATGACTTCCATCCGTTCCACATGCATTACACACGAATGAAATTGTGCCTGAAATAGGGTTCAACGGATGTTCATGAATTTCAGCTGTAATTGTCTGCAAAAAAGCATCCGCAGCTCTGAAATCAAACTCACAAACAGAACAATAATAAACAAATCCCTCATAAGACTTGGTGCACAAATGACAAGAACATTTCTCTCGATGTGCTGGGGGTTTGGGCAAAAGCTTTAGAGGGTGTTTCCGGTGGGCAGGGTGATTGATCTCAGGAGGCAACTCCGCACATTTCTTGTGAAGGTGAAATTTGCAATTGGGACAAAAGTAGAATGGACTTGACTTGTACATGGATTCCCTACATCCTGAGCAGACTTTTCTTTTGGATTGAGATTTGGTTTGAATTTCAATATCTTCAACAAGTATCAATGGATGATGGTGGCTAAAATGTTGAAGCTTTTGAAACTCTTGAGCAACAAATTGAGGATGCATAGCACATCTAAGGTCAAGGTTAAAATAACAAGCATCGCATCCATACAAAAATCCAATACGTTCCCAGCAAACATCACAGAAATGCTGAATATAACCTTGTAAACGAAGAGTAAGAGGGTGTTGGGGGTGGAGGGGGTGATTAGTGATCTTCCTTTTTAGGTCAGCACATTTCTTATGAAGGAAAAACCCACACTCACCACAACCGTAGCTGGAACCCTCTAATTCTTCCTCGCATCCAGAACAA